AAAACTAACATGAAAGCTGCAAGAAGCCTCCCATACTGCTCATGCATCAACACAGATATCTGAGGTTTGTCTTATTTATTATTGGGTTTCAATAAGATGTCAGCTTGAATGACCTAAGAAGTACAAGAGATGGCGGATTTATTGTGTGTTTACTGAGAAGAAAGAAACAATACAGCACTGAATTATCAGGTGAGAGAGACAAAAGGCAACATTTGTTTCTCTTCCTTACAAGGAATGACTCCATGTAGTGGTATATTTTGGGAGTGTAATTACCTTTGTCCCAAGCTCCATCTTGGATTACAAAGAGAAAAAAATCGCATGTTCAAGGACAGATGATGGCAGAACTTGGTCCCTTAGGGATACTGAGGGACCAAGTTAATAAAGTTTATTCCTTCTTTTCACGTCACTGGATTTCTCTAATGTCACTAGAAGAATTCAAAAGTAGGTGACAAGTATGGCTTTGTATGTAGAATATGATATTGCTGCAGGGATTTATTGTGCTCATATGCATTATTTACTTAAATGAGCAAGGAATTGCATTGTAGAAATACAATAATTGAATAGCTATAGAACCTATGTTCACTGCTTCATCTACAGATGACTGTGTGCAATTTAGCTGTAAGACTTTTCAAGCGTGGTAGAGTGAAATATATTACTAAGAAGAATTGCCAAATGGAACCATGCAGTCCCAAAGTTTTGTGACCAGGTCCTTAAGATTTAGCTACGGAAAACAGAACTGATATTGGAGGCAAATGTGTGTGGAAGTGCACTGTAGTTTGCACCAAATCCTGTCTGAAGAGGCTTTCTGCAAGAGACAATGCAATGCATGGGAGCAAGATGTCAAGGTCCTTCCTTACATGTACAAGCAAAAGACTGTGGATTTTCCTTTTATACCTTTAATATTAGTTAGTGACAAGCCATCATGAAATAATCTTAAATAGATCCTACTGAGGGGTTTTCCTAGTGCAGAGTCCATGTTCCATGCACATACTTCTTTGGTGCAACCAGTATTTGCAGAAGTTCAGGTCTGGCTCCAAAAGGACCCACCTCTGAGAAGAGCTGGAGAGGCTATGGGGTCTCAGGGCACAGCCAGAAGCAGCGGAGATGTTCACTGCCTGGCCTGAGCCCTTGGAAGTAACAAGTATAAAGTTGCCTTCCAGTCACTGCTGCACCAAGCCAGGGATCTTGCAGGCCTGGTAATGGTTTCCTCAGTGGAACTGCAGCTGAAGAACTAAACTTCTTTTTACAACAAGGGATTTTTACTTCAATCTTGACTGATAAAAATTGATAGCTAAGGGCTTACTAATCTCCTGTTTTAAAAGATCTTCTGGAAGTTTTAACAGATGTGATTGTTCTGCGGAGCCGTTAAAGACAACTGTGTAGACTACAAAATACAGTTCTGCACTGCCTAAGGCTGGAGATAGCTGCCACTGATACTTCAGCCAGATAGGAGATGGAAGGCAGAGCTCAACAGCAGCACTTTGTGCTAATAAAGGGTTGTCCTGGACTGAGAAGAATAGAGAATATAAGAAGAATATAAATAGAACTAAAATTTAGCTATCAGGAGCATGCAATGTTGATTGCTCAACTGGTTATGAAACACTACAACTTCTTAACCTCATAATTTGCTTCACAAGAACTTAATGGGTGAAAATTCTGCTTACAAAAGTCAGTTTTGTTGCACGATTTTTGATAATGTGTGTAAAAAGCCAAACAATATTGACAGGTATGACTGGGGTGAGGCAGAGGACCAAAAACACTGCAGGATATAAATATTTGGAAGATGGTGGAAGATATACTGGAGCCAAATTGCTTTCTATTTATATCAGCAAATGTAGAGGTTAACTTCAGTTAATACTGGCATTAGAATTATAAGTACAGAAAGCTAATGGGAAAGAAATGAGATGAGTGAAGCTTTTATCTACTTTTCGTGGTGCAGAAAGGTAAAAAGAAAAACAAATTCAGAAATTAAAATAGACATATGAAATGATTATATAAATTAAAATCCAGAGAAGATCAGCCAGAAAAATGATAGACTTAAGTGAGCATCTAAACAGCATCAGCTTGTTCCTGTGGATCTTGTGCTATTTACTGCATGGTTTGCTAATGAAAGGTGCCAGACTCACTCTTCTTACTGTATAACAACACACCAAGGGGTTCTGGAGAGAATACAAGAAGATACTAGGGTGTCTCAGAAGCAGAGGCAAAGCCAAATAACGCCATCTGGTAGCCAGGTTTTAGTCAGCAAATGCAAAAGCTGGTGGAAGGTTATGACAAGCATACCAAAGTTTAATAATGAGGAGACATTAATCCTATGTCCCCTGCCTGATTACCCCAGCAGAAAGTCTGCACCAACCTCTTCTCTGTAAATGATTCAGTGTATCTTTTTTTTCCTCCCTCTGGGCATGCTTGTACAGCATCTAGTGTGTTTTCAGCCTTGCCCAAATGAAAAATTAACAACCAAATAAAAGAAGAAATTCTGCTACCTTGTGCCTTATCTCTCCAAGGTACAAGCTGAGCTTAGAATTAATTTTATGCTGGCAAACTGTACTCTTGAAGAAAAAAGTGTTATCCCTGAGCAGTTTCAATAGGTACAAATACAAATATGATTTTCTTCATAATGGGTTGAGCACAGAGTTCTCTTCTCATGTTCATTCCATTCTACAGGAATACCAGAAAGTTTTACCTAAGACTTTGCACTCCTGCGTGCCTGAACACAGGTGGAAAAACAATAGCATAGGTAGATTCCTGCTCCTGAGAGATGATGACCAAGTACTTTGAATTTTAGGATTCCTAATCATACTCTTTGCTGGGTCACTCCCACCACTAAACAATCTTCATAGCATTGAGATCAGGATGAAGATAGTTTGTGCATATGTTCATCCTACTTCAAAGGCATCACCTTGTGCCTGACAGAGAAAGGTCAGGACAAGCTTCCTTCCAAAGGAGTTATTGAAGAGCAAGAGTTGTCTGGTGTACAATTAGTATGGAACATTGGCTGCAGTAAAAGATCTGTTAGCAGTCTCAATCTGAAGCATTTGTGCCATACAGTGCTGGCTCTGAGAACGTGCTATCTGTGCTGCTATATAGAGACTACAGTCCCTTCCACCTCTCCATTTAAGCCCATCTAGCTGGCTGTTTGCCATGCTGCCCCTCTGCTCTCAGCTGCTACTTGGCTGATTAGCACTGCCTCCAAGCTGACGTGCATAGGGCAGAGATTAACACAAACTGAAAGACAGGTGATCTTCTAAAGACATCCTGCAGGGATGGAGAGCTGTAGTGAGACAGGCTGTGTTTTGGGAAGAATAAAAGCTGTGCTGAGGACTGAAGAGATCTTCTGGCTTATGAGCAGATAATATGCAGTGATTTTTAGATGGAAAAATCTAAATCCGTGGTCAATGGCTCCAACACCAGCTGTCATGTGGCCTGCTCCAGGAGGAGCTCTATCAGTTAGGGAAGATGCCTTGATGTTGGTGTTCTCCATCAAAAGTTGCCAGACCTCTGCTAGCAGTGGCTGTTGATGAAGGAAACTGAGCTCTCAAAGGAATGGTTACATTCCCAAGATTCACCCCCCTGAAACATAAAGCCAGGGTACACAAGAAACACTCATCCATAGCCAAGCTGCCATCTGCTTTTTTTTTTTTTTTTTTTTTTTTTTAAAGATCAAACTGTCCTTATCTGACAAACTCTTTGGTAGATGTAGAGGCCTCTAAAATGGTAGACAGGTTGTGAGATTAAGCAATAGAAAATTGGGATGCAGGTGATGAATTATTCACCATAGAATTGGTTCTTACCTGTAGCAAGCTTCTTTACCCTTGTTTGTGCAGCCAGCACAAGCCTGAGAAATTTAATTCAAATTATCTACAGTACCCACAAAGCAATGGGAATAGACAACGGAGTAGTGATATAAGAATAGCTATATGTCAAGAATAGCTATATGTCCTTTATTGGTCCTTTCTGGACTGCTCTTATAATGCCCTTATGAACAGCTGTAATTAACAGTAAGATCAGAGCTGAATATTTTCTAATGACAGTATATTTCTATCTCTCAGAGAGTGGTCAGACACTGGAATGGCCTGCCCAGCGAAGTGGTGGAGTCACCGTTCCTGGCATTGTTCAAGAGGTGTCTGGATGAGGAGCTATGAGGTATGGTTTAGAGTCTTGTGGTACCAACGGTAATGGGAGGACAGTTGGACTAGATAATCTTGCAGGTTTTTTCCAACCTTTTGATTCTATGATTCAATGATATTATTTTGACCTAGGTTGTTTTGTTTTGTTTTGTTTTTTAAGAAAGGAAATGCTGCTGCATCTGCCTGTACATTTGCTTGACACAGTCAGATAGTCAGGCAGCTGGAATGGCTGCCCAGGGAGCTGGTGGAGTCGCTGTTCCTGACAGTGTTCAAGAGGCATCTGGATGAGGAGCTGCAAGATGTGGTTTAGTACCTTGTGGTAGCAGTGGTAATGAGAAGACGGTTGGACTAGATGATCTTATAGATTGTTTCCAACCTTCTGATTCTATGATTCTATGAATAGTGAAGGAACTACTGAATGAATAACTCTCCTTGGCACGTATTTTTTAGTCCTTCTAGAACAAGGTATGTAAATTTGCCCAGCTAGGATATTCTTCCTCCCATCCATACCTAAATGGTTTCCATGTTCACAGCAGGAGTGCTTCTTCGACAGCTGGTTTGTCAGCAAGCTCAGCTCGGTAGTATAAACCCCTTTATTCATAAGGATTCATTAAGTATGACCTTCACCCTTCTGTTTTCCCACTAGGTCTTCATCCAGCTTGCCTAGTCCTTTTGTGCCTGTTTTAAACAAGTGTGACAGAGACTCCTGACACCACTGACTGGTGCCCTGGTCATGTACTGCTCTCAAAGTTTTTAAGCAGAAGTGGGGTGGACCTGGCATCTTGAGCTCAGCAGCAGTACCAGAGCCCTACAGGAAATATTTCAGTGAAACTTGAGGTGATGAGGAAGGGTGGAATGCTATATGGTAGAGAAACCTTCAGTGGAGGTAAGTAGAAAAAGAGAGAAGGAATACTATATTTTTCATGTAGTCAGTTGATAATATGCCTATTTCTCCTCTACTGCCTGAACATCATCTGTCCAGGCAGCCTTAGAGCATTCAGGTTTGGCTGTGCTCCTGCCAATAGCTTCTGTAGTGTGGTTCTAGCACCAATTATTTAGACTTGTGTGAACAATTGATTTGAGGTGAAATGAAATGTATCAGTTGACCCAAAACTGACATTTATTTTCACTAAGCTATCTGAAAAACATAGTCTTTTCCTTTCAGGCATTGATTTGTATTATGTTTCTGTTTGTCTAAGTCCGAGTACTGGATATGTTGGGAGGCATGATTTACACATGCAAGAAATTTGAAAAAGTTCCCTTCTTTCCCAGCGGTGAAAAATCCAGCAATGTTCAGATCATTCACCCATTTGATGAAAGAACTTTATTTGAGTCTTTTCCCTCCTGAGAAACTTTTAACCCCTGTACTAGGGGTGATTCTGAGCTGCAGAGTAGATGATCAGACTTTGCCAAATGACTCGATATCGGTGTTTACTCTGATTGGGGGACAGGCACTCTGTTGCTCCACACCAGAGGTGAGTGTCCAATAAATGTCCAATTCAAGCTTCCTCTTAATTTAACCAAAATGATTCAACCCTGCTCCTGTAGAAATGGCTGTTGGACCAGTGACTCTTAGGAGGAAATACAGCAAGATGATTCTGGTTCTGTTTGCTCCCCTTTGAAAATTCCTCCTGTGCTCCTAACTGCATGTTTAGGCATCTAATACCATTGAAATGCACTCCTGCAATATTTCATCATTTATGCAGTGAAGTGTAGTATTTTATGTCTGAATGAATGAGAAAAAGGCACATTAAGGAGGAGATGAAAGGCAAAATTCAGGTTGCTACTACCTTGGTTCCAAGAACTAAAGATTTTTGGTGAGAGAGGAAAGAAGAGAAGGAAAAAAATTGGGGATATACTGCTACCCCTTGAGTGTCCTGCCAAGTTGTTTTTACTATCCCACTGAAAAAAGCTAGCATTGTCTGGAGCTTTATGAAAATTATCATTAACCACAAATTGACTGCTCTATTTTGCTTATCCAGCAAACACACTTAACAGCCTCTGACAAGGCACACTGCTTGCCTACATCTAGTGGAATAACTTCAGTGTGAAAAGAACTGCATAAAAATCAAATTCTTGTCCATCCTTCTGTCACTGTTCACTGTGGAAAAAAAGCAGTAAGCAGATAAATACAGCTCAGATCACGAAGTCTCAAAGGAAAAACACTTTTTTAGGCATCAGGAAAGTTCTGCTAATTTTTCTGTTCTTCACACCCAAATGTTATCCTGGGGGGGACCTTGAGGAGAGCTTTACATTCTCTGAGCTCCACAGTGAAAAAATCTGCAATGGGACCATGGATGAAGAAATATAGAGGGTGAGTCAATTAGAAAATCATCTGTGCCATGTGATGCAGGAAGTTCTGAGGCTGGTATAAATACTACAATTTTCCCATAAATAGAAGTGAGGAAATTGTTGCTCTAAAACTTGAATGTGTAGCTAATTTGAGCGTGATCTCATAGAGGGTTTTTAAGGAGTTCCTTCTTGTTATTATTTGGTGATTAAGCATAGCTCATGCATCTGAACCTCTTTGTCTATTCACTCTGCTTTAAGTATAGCAGCAGCTGCCCTAACAATTCACTTCAGAAGATTCAAGAACAGATTTCTCTCTATTTTGGGGATTCGCAAAGGCTTCCTCAGCTTTCAAAATTCTGCTCATTAATTCTTTGATTGCTGACATATATCTTGCATTCTGATAACTCGCCTATTAACCTAGACAAGCAATGTGCAACCCTTGGCAAAGTTCAGGAATTGTCTTTAGTAAAGCAGAGAGAAAGCAATAAGATATCAGGCTTCTTCCTCAAAATTTGAGGCTAATAGTGCTACGGTCCCCTTTGTTTTCACTGACCAGAAAAAAGGTTGATCCTTGGATTTCTTAGGCGTAATTCTTTTTTTTTTTCCAGTTAATGACTTAACGAGAGCTACAGTTTTTCAATGAATAGAGAATCATTAATCACAGACTGTAAGTTCAAACAAATTCCACAGACATTTTTCTTGTTTTAAAGAAAACCCTTCCCTTCCCCTCAGAAGTTCCATATCCACAAAAGGTTTCCCATTACTCAAAGACTAAACAGTGTCTCCAAAGACCTGGACTCAAGGAAATAAATAACTTTGCCACCAGCAGTCTAAATTACAAGTGATGTTACTGTTGAGATTTTGCTTCCCCACAGATGAGATAACCAATGTTCAGGAAATATTTTTTTGTACATACCACATTATTTGATATACTGAAGTAAAAATTTTTAGTCAAGGAAAAGCATATTCAAAAATATTTCTCAACGTGAATGAATCTTAAAAGTTTGATCTTTGGTTTATAATCTGTAGCAGACATCCATAAACTGGTAGTTTATACTGGTAATTATAAGATGATTTAATTGTATTGTGTGCTTGTGATGAGAATATGGTTAATTGGGTATCATTTAGCATCAGTTAAGGTCAGGTTTTCGGGAGCACTGGAAAGGAAGTGCTTACCTATTTGTCTACTACTTTACAGTTTCAACTGAAAAACTGTACAGTCGTTTTCTGGAATCTTGATATTACCACAAAAAATGAGGAAAAAAAAAAGATTCTGCAAGTCATTACATCCCAGAAAATCCTCCTAAGCCTTGAAGTCAGTGTCCAAAACAATAGATTTAAAAGAGGAACACTGTGGGTAAGGCCTTCAATATCAAGCTTGCAAATCAGGTATTTGCAAGTTACCATTTACACCCAACTATCAGTTTTTCCATCCACTGTGACTGAGAACATTCTTTAATCGGGTCACTTCAGGTCTGGGCCACAGCCATATTACCCATTCCCCTGGTGTTCATGCATATTGCTCAGTGACTTCTAATAACAATGAGGGTAGCTTTTGAGGTTTAAAAAACCAGGTGTCAAGGGATGTTTATGTCTACACACTGTGGTTATCCACACGGACATCCCAGTCCTGACAACACGGGTCTGTCTGTTACCCTGTTCTTTTAGGTCAAATGGAAGTAGTGCTGAAAGTACGTGGGGAAGCAAAACATCAGCTCTCCTAACTCTTTTTGCAAGTTGTAGATCTTACAATCAACAAAATAATGACAGCTGCAATTTTCTAATTTCTTAAATGAATGCAGCTAACACTATCCAGAAAGACAAAGAGCCAGGGTGAAGGGGAGCTGGGAAGGAGGAGAGGCTATGTTGTTGAGGAAAACAAGCAGTGTAAAAGCTTCCTGAACACATTCAACTAAAATATAATTACTAAATCAGCCTTGAAAGGAGCGAGTTAAATTACTGAGTGTGCTTGTGATCATTTTTCTAGTTTAAATTACTCTGGTATAAATGAAATAAAATAGGACTTGGACTCTGCTAATTAACCACCCTACCCACAGGTGATAACAATATGTGCCATGTAAGATCTCTGCAAAAGCAAAATTTATACACCTAGAAATGACAAGTGTGCATATTAAAACCATTTTTGCAGTTGACAAGAAAAGTGAAGTCCTTTGATAACTAACAAGGAAAATTATAGGTGGGGGGATGGTATGGAGGAAATTCAGCATACATTTAGTTGTAATGATTTAGACAACATTTCCTTGAACTAGTTCGCTTTAGAAGAGAACAAAGGGTTTGTCCTGCTGGGTAGCTTTTCAGCAGGGATGCCCTGCCTGCCTTATTTTAGAACTGCAGTATTACGTGGTTTCAATTAGTGGTAGCACTTGCAAAACTAGTAACACAGACATTTTGGCATGAAATCTGACTCCAAGGCATTGAAGGGTACTTAAGATCTACTAAGGGGTAGGTGGAGAAACACAGTGCATTTTAAACTTTGTTGATCATTTGTCATAATGGTATCATTTCTGAAAAGCTCACTGTATTTTTATAGGCTTGGGTTTTCATTTTGTCTTTACCTCACTGTTTAGAATTTGCTTTCCATTTATCTAGCATCCTTATTTCCTGTCTCTTTTGTCACCTGGCTCTTACTAGGCCCTCAGCTAAGGTTTTCTTCAGACTTTTAGAGCAACCAAGTGTTCTCGCTAAGAATGTTCAAAATGTTATAGTACTTAAAAAGCATTTACAGAGTCCTCTTCATCTTCAAAGTTCTTTACAAATACGAACTACTATGAGAACAATCCTCTATTGTCAGAAACTGGCTGGTCTAACAGTCCTGCTACCCCTCCCTTAACGTTGTGGAGCAATTTCTAAAACATCTTTCTGAGGCAACTGCCTCAAAAATTAAATAATAATAATAATAAAAATAAATAATAATAAAAAAAATTCCTTTAATTTTGCAGTCAGGAAAGCTAAATTCTGTTGCTATTCTGTGCCACTGTGAGTGCCTCTCATAATACATCTGCTGGCAGAAAAAAAGCCTGTGTATGACTCCATGAGAGTTCCCACTCCTACTTATTCTAGCTATCTTGATAGGCAGGTGACATTTTGATGAGCAAAATAACAAATGTCACTGCTGTGGTGATAGGCACGTACAATATTTCAAATATCCACTAAAAGAAATGTTTAATACAGGAATGAAAGAGGCAACTGCTTGACAAGATTTGAACATGTGTAACTATAATATTTTTAGCAGTAAAGTCAATAATTTGTCTCTCTTTCACCATCTATCATGGTGCTAAAGTAGTTTTTACCAAAACTTTCCTGTATGCTGTGCTAGTATGGTGATTGTCTATAAATAGCATAGCTGAAAGATTACAGCGCAAACATGATAACTATTTTTTGAGATTCACATTTTTAATTTCCATTTGAGGACTTGCTTCATTTAAGGATTTGTTTGGGTAGTGCTGAAGGTTGTAGATCAGAAAAGAACCGATGGTTTTTTCCATGTATTTCAACTGCTAGCCTAATTTTGGTATTACAGTATCAAAAATCTTGCTTTAAAATCATGCATATTTAGTTATGTATCATTTTGATGCTTGTGGTTGCTCTTCAGTTGAAACAGATTTTAGTATTCAGCTGAATTGAACAGGATGTGTGGGAATGGCACAGAGATGCACCAGGGAGGTTCAGGGGACGTTAGTATTTCTTTACTGTGAAGGTGGTCACACTCTAGAACAGGCTTCCCTGAGAGGCGGTTGATGCCCCATGCCTTTCTGTACAATGCCTTCAATGCTTTACACCCACTTTTAATGCTCTCAGTGCTCTTACTTAGCCCTACAGTGACCTGGCAGTCGGACTAGATCATCTCTGAAGGTGCCTTCCAACTGTTCTGTTTACTCTGTTCTATTTGTTCTATTCACTTCACTGCTGAGTTATTCAAATGTCTGGTCAACACCGTTTATTTTTTTAAATGTCTACCTCAGCCTTGCTTGCACAGTCATCTAGTCTCACTCTTATCCGCAGTGAGAAGCAGCAGTTCTCTTCTGGTCCATGCAACAGACATGTTTGGAGAATATAGATGAGCAGTTGAGCCACTGTGATGAAATTCAGGGGAAATATGTTGTTCATTCGGTTTAGAGATAGAATACCAAATTTACCCCACAATCCTTCAAAATCTCTGCAATGAGAGAGTCTTATTTTGATAACAGTTTTTACATGGCAGGTAATCCACAATGATCCACAATCATACAAGCAGGCATTCGCCAGTTTTATTGAAACTGCTTAACAGCTTTGTTGCAATTCTGGGAGTAAAGACGCTCACATTTCACTGACTTTAGAGCAGGTTTAATGCACTGTGCCATTTGCTACCATCCTTATGTGCTTATTTTGTGTGTGTGATCAATACACGTATTAATGCTAATACAACACTTACAGTGTTTCCCAGATGTAGACGTGGCCCCTTAATCCTTCCCTGTTCTGCTGGGAATAATCATTTTTACAACATGAGATCACTTGCACCAGTGAAGTGCATTTTAACACCTTTTGCTGTTATCTATGTGAACTGATGATCCTAATAGAATCCCAGCTGTGCATTCAAACTTTATTTCCTAGGTTAATCAGGCTAAAAGACAGTTAACTAAGTTTTCTCAAGGGGGGCCTCCTTCACCATAAAAAAAAAAAAAAAGATGCTGCAGGAATTGTTCATCACCAGAAATTTTGCTCAATGAGTAAAGAAGTAAAGAAAGGCAGCAACACTGAAAAGAAAGGGTGTTTTTGTCTTATAGTGGACAGCATGACATGCAGGAGGAAAAAAAAAACAAAAAGAGAAATATTTTCTGAACAAAGAAGTCAGGTCAGTTCCCTTCTTTTTTGATCTTTAATCCCTTCTCTCCCAAGTAGAATGGCAAAGGAGCCCTTCTCTCTTTCTAATAAATAGCTAGCAAAGGCAGGCATTCAATGCTACTTCCCTTTGATCAGCACAAAGCTGTCAGCTCCTGCCGCTTTTTTTTTTTTTTTTCTACCAGCTCTTGTTCCTGGTTAAAAGTGGAAGTAATACCCCCTGAAAGAAATACCCTAGGTGTCCTGCAAATCATCAATCCTATTTTTTTCCTCGTTGTCTTTCTGTGGCCCACCCTCCTGGCCTGAACAACCTCCTTACTAACACCCCTCTTCCTCTTTCCACCCTTTTTCCAGAATACCAGTTTCATTTGATACTCAATTCAATGTGCCAGTCTGACCTACTGGGACCTTGCTGTCTGAGACTCTACCACTATGCAGACAGGGGAAACCCTCCTTCCAGCTATAAATGATGTTTACCTCCAGACATTTATCTTTCTGTAAAGGAATATACAAATACTTCACAGAAATAGCAAAGGGAAATTACATTTTAATAATTTATAATAAAGCTCAAGCTTTACAAATAATAATAATACTAAAAAGAAAATATTCTATGTTGTGCTTGACCGACTCTCTGAGATCCCATTTTGCTCCAGTCCTTAGCTTGCTGCATTTCAGACCACATCATTGCATCTTAGCAGTAAACAGTTTGCAAATGTTGCTGCTTTCTGACAGGTCACTTGACGCATTTTAAAGCAGGCTCCTTGTTGACCACGGAGATCACCTGCAGTCTGCATTTCTGCTCATCACAATATCAGAACCTTATATACAGTTTGCAAACATTGTGCAAAGGAAATAATTCACAAAGGCAAACAATTATAATCAAGCGTAGAACACGAGCCTGGCTTGTAATAGGAGAGCAGGGCAGAGGCTTTAGTGTGTGTATATGTGTAAAAGGGTTGGGGGGGGAGAATGGAGGAGCAAGGAAAAGAGGCTGTATAAAAGATCAGTATTCTGAGACAATGCCACATCCTTTGTGACCTGTAATGATGCTTAAATACCTCTGCCATTTTCCTGTGGCGATGGCTGCACCGGGTGCTTTCTGTGTGCCTGTAGAGATATGTTTTTCAAAAAGCAGGATGGAGTGAATGCCGCTCGTTGTTCTGGCTGCAAAATGTCAAACTGCAGTGGAAAGAAATACAGCATTGCAGTGGTGGTGCACTGAGGCCCCCGGTAGGAAAGCAGGAGCTATTAAGTGGAAAATTCCTGCAGAGGACGTGTTTCCATTTCTAATGCGAAGAAAGAGGGTGTTGTGTGAGGCTGGCAGGTCTGTGGAAAATACAGAAAACACAGGGAAGATGAGAAAATGACCTCATTGAACTCTGAGAACTTAAGCAAACAAACAGCTTCGGCCAACATACCACATTCTTGCAGCGCTTCTGCCCAAACAACAAATTGACCTATAAGTTATATAATCCCCCACCAGCCCCCATGTAACCGTGGGGAGGGGGGTGGGGATTTCTCTGCAAGGCAAGCAAGTTGGGGGAGCAGCAGTAAATTCTGCTCTGCTGGGAAAAAATATCTGGCGGTGAACTGCCTGCGCCCCACAGCCCCACCTCTGCACCCCAAATGTTGTACTCACATGAGGTTTAATTGCGCTTTGAATACCAGCAGAATGATGGCACTAGTTGTTTATTATAGTATGAACTATTTCAGTACAGCATAAATTTTCCATTTCAAAGGATCCCAAATGCCTGCGGGGAAGGGACTAGGTTTTGTGAGCAGAGGGTGGCCTCTGAGTTGGTGGGGGTTTCTTCTGAGCAGTGGTTAAAGCTGCATTCTTTGAACCTGGTTAGGGGGGCTCTGGGGAGCATGTTTAGGGTCTGTGTTTCCCCCTGTAGAGGCCTCCTGTAGTGATGGTTTGGAATGCCTCAGCTACCATTTTATGTCAACTGAACAAATCCTAGTGTAAAAACGCAGAGGCTAACCAAAGGCCATGGGCTCGGCGCTTGTTGTTGTTGCTCCACATAGCTGCAGAAAAGAAGATGTATGCCCCCATCCCCAGCAGCTGAGTGTGCTGAAAGGCTTGATTCATTGCACGGATCCTTTCCTCGCTCTATTTCCAATAACTAATTAATTGAACATAACAGAAAGAAATTTAATTGACAGAACAGCAGATAAACTATAATTCTTAGTTTACGGTAACAATACTTACAGATCAGAAAAGGGCTTTTCTATTAACCAATAGTAACTTTGCTGTAGAAACATATTTTCTGCTACCATATTAACAACATACACATTCAGTGTTGTTTTTTTTTTTTCCTGTTTACACTGTTACAGTTCTGTTGTCTCCCAGTTTAATGCACAGCCAAAAGATGCTGTGCTGTCCAACATTTTGCATGGAGTTTGTCAGTGATGTCAGTTTTGAAAGGTCCTTGAAACTTTAAATAATGCATGATGTTTTAAGTAGAATAAATACAAACAAAATAAAGTAATCTTGAAGGTGTGTTGTGAGGCATATGCATAGGAACGAGGGAGGTTCAAATACTGCTAGCAAAGAAAAAGCAACAAACACAAATCCCAAGATGCATTCAAATTTCATGTAAGCTGTTGTCTCGATCCAGTGATTTGATCCATCCTGCTGTTTGATGAGGGACTGCTGTCCGTGAATGCACTAACTATAATTCAGAAAACCCTTGCAGCTATAAGGAGCTGACTGGATTCAACACCTAGCTTCCTTCACCAGTGCACTTCAGAACAAGATAAATTGAATAAAAAATGGGTAAGGAGAACCAAGTGAGACAATCTCAGACTTTGTCCAAATATGCAAAGCTTTCCTCTTGGAAGGTTTGTAAAATCTGATTAAATTGCCTTTTTTTTTTTTCCTTTCCAGTTTGACATCTCTCTGAATACCCAAAGCACAAGGGAAAATGACAGAGTTACGTACTATATAGAACTAATATCAGTACATGCAAGACTTTGTGCATTATTTTGCAAGCGCACTTGTTTGGATAAAGATTAAGAAAGGTAAGTGAAATCTGACTAAACTGAACAGAAGCTTTACTGCACCATCTAAGTATCTCTTTTCAGGGCACCAGTTATAATTTTCAGGCATGGAGGAGACATTGTTTTAGTGTTACAAATGGGAAATAATTCTAACCTTTGCAGCTCAGATCTGAAACCAAAATTTGCCCAGAATCCAGCACTCCTTCAGAACGTTTAACCCAAAATGCCTGCATTCCCTGCAGCACAATGGCCAAAAGACGTTTGGGATCTCCAGCGTTGTCTCATTCCCTTTCTGGAAATGTTTAACCAGGGCAAACTATATAGTGCGGCATTTCTGCATGATGCCATGGATTCTGTTTCTCTTTTCCTTGTGCTGTGTAACTAAGGGGCACTGTAAGGGGTGCATAACTTACAGACGAAACAGTTTTCTCCTCCACACTCTGACAGGAAATAAAAAGCTCCCAAAAAACTTGAGAGAAAAACAAACTTTGTGAATGACAAATAGAAGCAGTGCCAAAACAAAAGAGTTTCCTGTATCTAATAAAAGGGGAAAGGCAATTTTTTTTGCTCATTTTGTTTCTTGCTATTTTTTTTTGTAAATGGCAAGAAACAAAACAAGGTAAGGAATGCCTATGTATTGTTAGGATTCTGGAGTTTAGTACCCATTGCAGAATTAATCTGAGTGTAGAACTTTGGTTACAGTTTCCCTCTGCATTTTGTAGGTTGTCTTCTACGTAGCAGACTGAGCTTGTCTCAGAGCTTCTGTTTTGAGTTCAGTTTAGAAACTTTAGATATCTAAAGAGATTGCTTAAACAAAAATGTAGATAAGTCTGGGTGATGAATAAGTCTGGGTGATGTTCAGCTTTTGCCACTGGATCTCAGTGCAGCCTTGATGCGTAAATGATGGCAAGAGAGTAAACCAAAATTTTATGCTTTCTTGAGTTACCCTTCTTTGCCTCACAGAATCAAATGACGTGGAGCAAAAGAGCACAGAAATCATAGAGCAGGATTTTATGTCTTCTTTATTTGAAAACATTGTTTTCATCAGGAGGTCTCATGCAAATGGTGCCAGCACTGTGGTTGGGAAATGTGAACTAGCGGTTAGCACTCCCAAGTTACCTTCAGCACTGTCCACTTGTTCTGATCACAGTGGAAATAGGACCCTTAGCTTCTGACCTTTGATAGAAGACCTAAATTCTCTCCCCTAGGTTTCTTATCGCTGATTGTGTGGATCTGGTTTTCTACTTGCTATGAATGTTAGAGTTTGAAGAAAGCTTTGAGATAATGGGCTGTGGAAGACAGAAGAGTGAACCAGTCTCCTTCCTTGTTCTTCAGTTCAGATGATCATTAGTTTGGACAACTGGAGGATGGAGATCCCAGGACATACTGAAAGAGTAAGTTTGCTGTTTCATATGGATGCAGAAAGCTTGGTGGTCAATGTTTTAATGTTTTGGTACTGAGGCAGAAGTGAAAAAAAAAAAAAAAAAAAAGAAATGTCACAGCAGGATGTATGCACAGGATTTACATGGATAAAATGTTTGTAATCTACCTCTGCACTGATCAGATGAAGACTTGTAGTCTGTCACAGGAGCCATAGCCTAGGATGCTGTTCCTCCTTTGGAGTCACAGAAGGTAAAAAGAGTAATCAGGTATTTAGAAACCATGGTTTGGGAAAGTATTGTTCAGTATACAGAAAGGAAAAGACAGGGCTTTGAAATGTTTAAAGGACAACTGTAATAGAGGAAGTAATTTTTGTTTTCTGTGTCCATTGGAATTAGAAATGGCTAGTTTATCTTGGGCATTAAGAAAAAGTTATGTTGAGTGACAGGAGAATGTACATATACAAAACAAAAAGCAGATTCTACCACATAGCAGAATAAATGCATAAACCAAGATGTGGATCAATTTCTGCTTTGAAAAATATTTGACTTAAACAGGGCCTGAATGCTGCTGAGCTAGGTTTAGCTCAACTAGGTGCTGCTAGCAGGCCACTTGAGGAAAAGCATGGTGGCAACCAAGGACCAATAGCTGAGAGTGATGGTGTGATGGAAGGGTTTGGAATGGTTTGGACCTCATAATTGTTCCTGGTTTCTTGAAGGATCTAAGTCAAAGTAGAACTCTACAGATATATAGATATAGATTTTTCTTACAGCAGTTGATCTGGCAATGAATAGAGTTTGATTAGATTTTCTGCAGAGTTGTTGGCAGTCCCAAAGCCTGATCATTAAAATGGAAACAGTTAAAATTTGTTTCCTCTATTGTCAGTTATTTTCAATAGAATTTCATCCAAGTATACACCAGTAAAATTGAATGAGAGGCAACACAGACCTGTGTCAAAATCAATCAACCTCATGATTTCTCCTGCCTAAGTCTTAAGGAATGTTCCTTGAAGATCTTTATTTTCTATAGTGTGTATCACTAAAAGATGGGGTTCAGGAAGAAGCAATAAGAGAGGCTTTTAATATACTTCATTTTCTGCTTTAAATTGTAATTCACATAAGTAATGAGTATGTTCCAACCAGAATGGTGGGAATGTTGCCTTGTGTTACTAACATGTATTCAGTTCCAGAAGCCCCCTACCACATAGAAGCTAATTGCAAGGATTAGAGTACACCAACATACTTAAGCTCCACTCCTGTGGGTTTGGGGAGGAACAACACATTTCAGCATTCCAGCTACAGTTCCCCTGGCAACGTACATAACAACAACTCACTAAAAACTGTGGGTTTCTGTTTTCTTAACCCTTAGAACATTGACTGAATGAATACTTCCTTGAGGAAACAGTTCAGTCAACCAGATATAGTCAAATACTCTTGAATCCATCAGTCCTCTCCTTTAAAAAAAAAAACAACAAAAACAAAAGCAGTTGAATTCCTTGTCAAACTGATCTCCTCCCCTAGCATTAAAGTATTTAACTCAAACAAACGTACATACCGTTAGCAAACCTCCCCTAAAGGTCTGCATGAAAAAAAGACTTTAAAAAAAATCAATATTTAAGATCACTATAAAGTTCCTAGACATCAAAGGACACACAGAAAAATACACAATGAATTTTACAAAGCACATAAATACTCAAAAGAGATGAAAGAAAACAAAATTAGCATTTATGTATTAAAAACAATATTTTCCTATCAGTTACTATAACAGTGATAATGCCTATAGCAACTTCATGATTCCTCTGAGAATTTCAAATACTTCATAAATATTAGCTAATGCCTTGAAATAATATATACACCACTGTTGTGAAATACATGAGATCTGCTCCAGAATTTGTTCCACTGCCCAGTGAACAAGAATCTCTTGTGATGGTATCAATCTGCTTATTAGCAGTGGCTGTTCCTATCACATAAAGGAGCAACCAGCTAAATGCACGTGCAGGATGTTAGAAGTCACCAGACCTCACCTGAACCTCACGAAGAGCTGCTGTAGATTTTGGGTTGCCAATAGCAGGCAGAATTAATGAATGCAGGTGGCCATAGTTCTTAGTGGCTGCAAGTACCACTGGTATTTTAAGATAATAGTCTGATCCCTAGTATTTTTCTCAGAAGTCTGCATTTATGAAATCATTTAAGAATGATATCTCCTGGAAAGTTTTAGGCTGGGGTGGGGGAGGTGGTGGCAGTGGTATAGCAGTTTTCTGAAGAGAGACTACCTTGTCTCCTCAAAATGCAAGGACTGACCTGATGAGGCTCTTAGAGAGCAAGAGAAGACATCTACCTTTATCAAACATATGACTATTCCCAGTGCACTGGTGCACACTTAGTTACACAAAGGAAGAGCTGAAGGCTGCAAAACTAAATCATGGATCAAAAAGATGTCAGTGCACTTTGAAGCAATTACATTTCGTAACCTGGATTTTCTCCCTTTCCCTCCATAAGCTTTTTTTTTTTTTTCTTGAAAGGAGTTGATGTGATGTTCCCTTAGATCTTCCATCCCATGATGAAAACCATTGCCTCATTTTGTAGTTTCAAACAGATACAAGAAAGAGTAAGTGCACCTGCAAAATTGTTTAAAGTTCTTTAGCCAGAAACTTTTAATGCTCCATCACTATACCATTGCTTTCAATCCATGGAGATTGTGTTCCCTTGCTGCTGTGCAGCAACTCCTAGGTAAATCACTGGGAAGCAGACTTTCCCCCCCTACTTCGCCCTCAGGCTTAGGACACAACAGTTTGCTAAAGATTATGCAGCATCCTTACTAACGTGTGGTTGCCAGGGCATCCTTGTTCCCTAGCCAACTACTGTACTGAGGCTTCACTGGCAACCATCCAGCTGTGTTTTACTGAGGAACCTCTGCAACAGTCAAGGGCATGTTTTCACAATTTACTGGAGAAGTCAGTCTGTTTCTTTCCTCCTAAAGACCCTAAGCGTTTGGGAAGGCAGAAACTTTTTGCAGATGACTGTAAGACAGTGGATGTCTCTTCTCCCTTTTATCTACAAAAAATAAAACTAAAAAACAGTTTTTGCTGCAGTGGCCTTGGGCTTTGCATTAACCCAGCCATTATGGACCCTAGATATACCAGTGTGGCACAGTGTCAGGACCAGCACAGGCACAGAGCCACACTGACATGTCAGTACCTTCCACAGCTATGCTGGTAACTGATTAGGTTTGTTCTGTGCAGTGTGGAGTTACTCTCTTGGTTGGAAGGAGAGAGGGCATCCTAGGGTGTGTTGCTGTTGATAATACTTCATTTCTCTCAAGATTTTGCACTGCAGCATCACTGCAATGCAAATCCCAACTAACATCATTTTTAATTTCAAGTTTTCTTAGGGTAATAGCATGTAAGATGGAATGAATAAGATGACGCTGTCTAGTGATAAAAACAGGCTTAATCTGCAATTTGTGTTGGTGACACCCAGAGTTACTATGTCAAGGCCAATTCCAGGCTGCACTTCTGCTAGATGGCTTGAACAGCCTTCAGTTACAGCTGA